CTTTCACCATAAGCTTTCATTTGATCCATTGGCTACTATTATACGATTTGCTGTTCTTAATTTATTCCCAATATATTAGTTACAGTCTCCTGTACTCACAGTCACTTGTGGCTTGATCTTGTATAACTATCGTTTTTTTATTTCATAGTGTGATGCGGTTTGACATGCTTATATATAAACTACGTATATCTGGAATATGCAATTGATATAGCGTAGGGCTGGTGAGAATCTACTATACAATGATCCAATAAAGATTCAGAGTTGACTCGAGGCTGCTAGTGCTAGTTGCCTTACCACTGATTTATCGCAAATACAAGGTCATGGGAGTCGGTATTCTGACCGGTGCCTTTGTTACGTGATATTTGGAGGCCCATTGTAAATAACACAGACGTATATATACTTATCTAATTTTTATAACCCTGTTGGAAAATAAGATCAAATTACATAATCAATACGTGTGCTCCGTTGTTGTACACATCAAAAATGGTTATGTAATTAATGATTGAATAACAATAGATCAATGGCAAAAAATAGAATAAATTACTGTTTAGTAGGTGAGTATCAACAAACTGCAGAAGCATAGGAAAACCCGAGAGTACTGACAACAAATGAATAGTGAGTTTTTAGTCTCCAGAAAAAGAAGTAGGAAAAGTGAGAAAATCAACTTTCTACACAGTGGGATAATATAAATACTATGATAGCTTATAGTCGTGAATTTAGCTAGGACACAATTTAAAATCTGAAATCATGGGACAGTTTTTTTGACCTAGCACCAGGCTCTTTGTTGGTGCCCATCCGCAACACTGTATCCTAGAGTCAAACTCAGGATCTTTTGTCTCGCTCAAGAACACTTAGTTTCTAGGCCACTCAGTAGAAATTCAACATTGCTAGTGTTTAGCTTGAATCAGCTCACTATATTGCTCAGTCCTCATTTACTCAATTTAATGGATAACTATCTTACACATGACATTGATTAAACTTCACTGGTTACAACTTTTCACTAAAACTCCAAGAGTTGCATCTTAAAGATAATCACTAGTGAGGACATGGTCACTATTGGCGTAGAGGTATTCTCGGAGACTGTCTAAGTTTCTTAATTTAAATCATGAGTTGATATGACCAATCTAAGCATTGAAAATTCCGCAATCTTAGCAAATACCCTTATCTTAATAATATTCATTATAAACTAAATAATATATATGAAAATAAAGTAAAGGGAATAGTAGAGGGTAGAGGGATCGTTTTTGCTTCAATGAGCTAAGATTATTTTGAACGATCAGAGAAAGTAACTTCATAACTTTGTTATTATAGAACACAACAATTGTTCTTGTTTCATTGATCAGATTTAAACTCTATAAATTTTCTGTCAATAATTTAGTAACTATACGAATCAATTAATGATCTATTAGTAACTATGGAATCCAAACAGAAATGTAATTTGTAACTTTATTTATTTATTTCTTCATTCTCATACCTTCATTCATTAACATACATTATTAATGTCAAATATACCACCTGGGGTTGAGTTCAGTGAATCTACTTTAAATCTATCCAAACACATAGCAAGTATTATGACGGTTTATACTGAATAATGTATAAAGAAGAAAGGTTAATCAATCTGCATTCCTTTGAATGATGAAATGAATTATTTTTTCAGAAACTTAATCTGAACTGTTTAAAGCCTACTCAATTAGTTTAGACATTAAGTATTCACTTATGAAACCAAACGTCCTGAGTTCGAGTCCTGGATGCAAACTTATGGATATGCATTGATGATAAGTCCTAAACTATGACAAAATAGGTATCCAGTGCTTACAGGTTTTCAATAATGATGATAATCTAAATTAGATTGACTTATGAATTCAATCTTGAAAATATTATAATCTCCAAAAATCCATATTCTGATAAAAACACATGAATATTATTTCAATAACAATATAGCTATGAGTTCAAAATATTTACAAGGAGATTGTATTATTTTAAATGGTGGACGGTGGCACAATTTCATAGATTGGTTGAAGTTAGACATTAACGGTGTTGGATACCGACTGACTCACTGGTCTAGAGGTTAAGCACATGTGCCAGAGACCGAAAGTTCTGGATTCGAATCTTACGAGCCCGATTGTGGATGCTCACTGCTGAGGAATTCCATACTAGAACGGAACGGCCATCCATTTCTTTCAGGTTTTCCAAGACAGTCTAGTTTCAGTTGACTCATGTGTTCAACTATTAGGATTATTATAATATCGACAAAAACCCCTTCTGATATTAATCAACATATACTCACGAATGGCGTTCAACCGAGTCAGATGTGTGATAGTAAGTTACTGATGACAGTGGTGAATGTATCGCTCAATTTCATGGATTGGTTGAAGTTAGACATTAACACTGTTGGACATTGACCGCCTCAGTGGTCTAGAGGTTGAGCGTTCGCGCACGAGACTGACAGATCCTAAATTAGAATCTTGCGAGGCGGGATCGTGAATGCTCACTCCTGAGG